ACATTTATTCTCTGCATTTTGGCCACTGCACAACAAAACATCTCTGATGGGGACTGAGACACACATTAATCTATCAAACTAATACATTTTTAAGACGATGACCTTTTAGTGCTACATTTAAAAAATCTGTTTTTTTTTTTAATGTTTTGTAGTTGTTTTGTAGTTAATTCATCTGGTATGATGCACAGAAGGAATCTAAATTCAATTGACTTTTTCAAAGACTACAGATTTTCACCTTTATGCGGCAGGCTCTCTGTAATGACAAGTATGTGACAGGTAACGGTAAATGAAACAAAAATGAAAAGCCCTGTCACTGATCTCACTCTGTCTGTAGTAAATCTAGGTTCAGAGAGACTAGCTCTGAATTTTACTATTCAAGCACTAAATGAATCTGTCTCCAGCACACTGGTAGTTCCACCAGAGCACTGATACATATCCTCATTTTAATTAACCTAATGGACTATTCACCAATCATACTTAAAGGTCTATTTCATTGCCCTAAATTAACATTTTCTTTCCATTATAGTTACAGATTATAAAAAAGGCATTACTTCCATGTGTAGTTTACAGCATGTGGAGTCTATAGTATCCTTTGTTTGGTGATTACAAGCACTTAGAATTAGCAGCAGCCCGGTGATTTATTTACTCACATGGAGAGGTCAATAAAAATGCAGTATTTCAAAAGTAAAAGTATCTATTCATTAGCTTGATGAAAGCAATTGTGAGATAGGTGTTGACTGGTCTCATTTAAAAGGTATGAGGAAATAGGCTTGCATTTACATAATTGTATAGTCCGACCTGACATTTTGTCATCTTTCTCCTTGCAGTTAAGATTTAGTTTCTCAAGTTTAGTGTCAGACATTAAAAAAAGTTATTTTAATTGTTCAAGAGAACTGTTTAAAGACATTTCCTAGCAAATGTTTCCCAATTTAATGAGAAATTATTTGATCATAAGTCTTTCACATAAATTCAGCAGCAACTTGAGCTAAATAATTAGTTCTAGGATAAAAATTTACATATGTATCAGTCCATTATTGTTTGCTTTCCAAATTAATCCCTGTTTGTCAAAATGAAATCATAAAATTCAATTTGATTTTAGGATAGTTTATAACAACTCCTCACAAAATTCCAATTTAAATAACATATCTTCCAAAGTGTTATTAGACTCAAGTATGTTACTTTAAACTACTTCCCCCTGCCAATCACACTGCCACCCTCAAAAATCTTCTCTGTTTTTAAGCCTGTTTGTTTCTAAGAGAATCACACTATAGCTTAGGATAACCTAGAACTCACTCTGCCTGGCTCAAAACTGTTCTTCAAACTGTTCTAAGGCAAGTTTTCTATTACTTGGAACAAAAATAAAAGGTTATTTACCAATCTGAGGCAGGAAAACCATAAGACCAGACATTTGAGACCACATGGGACTCAAGCTAAGCATACTAGTGCATACCTGAACTCCTAGCTACTCAGGAGACAGGGCCATAAGACTGCTGCTGAATTTGACGTCAGCCTGGGCAACACAGTGAGACTGTCCTTGAAAGAAAACAGATTCTATCAAGGGTCAGGATGCTTCAGGTTTACAAGGCATTTAAGGATGTAAATTTTTCTAGCCCAAGACACTAATGCTAAGATATCAAATATCAAGAAAAAAATTGTGTGTGCCTGAGCATGCTGAAGAAGCTGAGATAAAGGAGCCAAACAATATCCATGCCTTACTCTGCTGAAGAACCACATTCTGCTCTCTAGAAAGCAAGGACTACAGTAGGATACGGGAAAATGGCCTCTTTGGGAAAGGAATCTGACCTCTATGTTTCTCTTCTATGACAATAATAACCAGGACCAACTCCAGGATGAGTGAGCTCCTCAGGAGTTTCAAGCTCCTCCATACTAACATACATGTGCAGGTGACAGTACATGTGTGTAATTCCAGCAGGAAAATCATAAGGTCAAAGCAACCTGGACACCAGAGCAAGGCCTACCTTTAGGGGTTTGGGGGTCGGGGGACAATATGAATAAAAATAAATGAGATAAACTGACACACGCCTGCAATCCTAGCATGTGGGAGGGAGAAGCTGGAGGATCAGAGTTTATGACCACCCTCAGCTACACAGCAAAATCAAGGATAGCCTGGCCTACAAGAGAGACCCTGTCACTAAACATAATCATTTTTCAAGAAAACATAATGAGGCTGAGAGGAATCCTGGTGGATCATCAAATAATTATAATCCATCCCCCTTCTCACTCCATCTTCCTTTTGTCCTCATCATGATTCAATTGAAACATCATGGCTGGCTAAAAGTCAGGTATCTATGCTGAGCCATAGCAACAGGGGGAGTGGGGCCGCTTCAGGGCCGGCAAGCATGGGGAAGCAACATGACTGGGAGGTCTTTCACAGCAAATTCCCTTTCATTAGGCAAATGGGAAAATATATTGATGATAATGTGTGATCTTTTTCTCACACGGAGAATATGTGAGAAGGCATTGCAAACAACTCTTAAGTTGCTGGAACAGGACAGAGGTTTAGCCTGCATATGAGTTCTTGCTCTCTCTCTCTCTCTCTCTCTCTCTCTCTCTCTCTCTCTCACACACACACACACCCAAAGGTATTTCTGTCATTTCTGTCTCCCTTTTCTTTCCTTCTGCCCCCAAACCCATCTGTGTGTCTGTCTGAAAATTAAAAAAAAAAAAAAAAACACCAGGATCAAGGCAACTTATAAAAGGAAGCATTTGATTTGGAGTTCCAATTCCAGGGGGTTAGAGTGCATGGCCATCACAGTGAGAAGCAAGGAGGCAGGTAAACAGCAGACATGGCACTGTACCTGAGAGCTTACATCTCATCCACAAGCACAAGGCAGAAAGAGAGAGTCAGGGAGACACCGGAGGGCAGTCCTAACTGGGAATGAGGTGGGCTTTTGAAACCTCAAAGCCCACTCCCAGTGATACACCTCCTCTAACAAGGCCACACCTCCTAGCCCTTCCCAAAGGGGATCAAGTATTCAAATATATGAGTCTACAATGGTCACTCTTACTCAAACCACCATAGAAGTATTGTTGGGATTTTGCTTTAAAAGAAAATAGAAAAGCCTTACTTCAAGATTTTTCCCCCAGGAATTTTGATAAGGGAAAGATTAAACATAAAGTGAACTTCACAAAGAACAAACAAAGCTGCTGGGATGCAAATTAATTTGGTAAACAAATTTAGTTGTGGCAAAATCTTAGTATCTGGCAGTGATTCAGACTTCATCAGTATCCCCTCAATGTCAATCGATGTCATGAAGACTAGGTTAGTGAGAGCATGGGAGAACCTGAAACCCAGAGAAAATTGAACTCAAAAGCACGGGCAAATAAACATATACACAGGCTTCACAGGAAATCAACAACCACACTTGAAGGAAAAGGGAACGTGATCCTAAACTGACTCGATTCCTCTCCTTAAATGTTTCTTTTGCCATCAACATATTCTAAAACATTGCACAAAAGATGCTACAAAGCTGAAAACCAATCTTCTTTCAACTAATAACGCTGTTGGGAAAAAATCTAATCCCTCTTTTAGTAGCCAAAGATATCACTGAAATATGGAGTGGAACCAGGGGAAGAATTGACTTAAAAATTCCTCCTAATATTCAATCCCAACACTGGAGGGGAAAAATATGAAAAAAGAACTATCTAAATGAAAATCAGTAAGAAAAGCTGGATGTTTGTAGCTGCTAGTAAATAAATCATCCTTCAATCACTTTAACCTCATAAAATTCTACCCTGAAAATAAGTTTGGGTCTTACAAAAAAAAAAAAAAAAAAAAAAAAAAGTTTTGCACCTGTATGAACCAACCATTGAATAGCTTTCATCCCATATCTATGCTCTTCAAATGGGTTCTAGGAAGAAAAATTGAACAAAAACAGTCAGCCAAGTAAAAACAGAGTAATCAAAGAAGTCAAAGAACACATAAGAAATAATGACATCACAAGATAGCCTTTAACTCTAGGTGGGTAAATTTATAAAAGCTATTCATTATAAGGTGTCTATTTTCTATAGCTACTACAATGACAAGAAACAATCTTAAGGTGATTAAAAGGCAATTCACAAAATATTATTTTTTCTCAAGGATACATATATGGACAGATCTCACAGGGTATGCAATCCAGTTCAATTAAAGAACCCATGGAAGAAAGCCCCACTTGACTTTTTCACTAAGTTCTCATCAGAAAAAGAAAAGTTCTATTTATCAAGACAAAATCGGTGAAAGCTTTACCTGAAATGCAGCAAACTGGAATGTGTTTCATTACAAGTCCTCTGTTCATCAACCCTGAAGCCTGATGCAGAGATCAGGGGCCCTGAGGGCTATGCAAGCAGTATCTAACAACCAAGACAAGTCAACCTGTACTTCTCACTCATGAACATTCCCCAGTGGTCAGTACTGCCGATGGGAATCCAACTCATTATTGCTTATGAGATTCTGACTCTACAAAAATGGAAAATCACATTTTCTTTAGACAAATGATCAAACACTTAACAGGACTTTTTTCTCTCCCATGATTGATGATAACTGTAATTCACACAGGATGACAACTGACAGATCACATGATGTTCTAGAAGAAACTTAGGGTCCCTATAAGGCTTTATAATATGTGGCTTGCTCACCCCTTCACTCATTTAAATGCCCTTCAACCAAAAAAAAAATGCTGCTTCAATGGTTTTAAAAATTACAACCGAGTCAATATAGTTGCTGGCAAACTCGGCAAGCTCTGGGATTTAAAGCATGAGAGGAAAAGAGCAAAACCCATAAAGGAGACAGCAAGAAGAAAAGAGGGGGTCGGACAAAAGAGGCAGGGGTAACTGCCCTTATATGGTTGAATTTTTCCAAAATCTGATTTTCTAAATGCTCAGTAGAAGAATCTATCAGATATTTGAAAAAATCCTTAGTTTAAAATGATGAGTAAGGAGAAAGCCGAGTCCCGAGCTAGGGCGAGCGGAGGAGGAGGCACAGCGGCCGGAGGCCCAGCACTAAGGAGCTGGACCAGTGGATCGAGCAGCTGAACGAGTGCAAGCAGCTCTCCGAGTCCCAGGTCAAGAGCCTCTGCGAGAAGGCTAAAGAAATCCTGACAAAAGAATCCAACGTGCAAGAGGTTCGATGTCCAGTCACTGTGTGTGGAGATGTGCATGGACAATTTCATGACCTCATGGAACTCTTTAGAATTGGTGGTAAATCACCAGATACAAATTACTTGTTTATGGGAGACTATGTGGACAGAGGATATTACTCAGTTGAAACAGTTACACTGCTTGTAGCTCTTAAGGTTCGTTACCGTGAACGTATCACCATACTCCGAGGGAACCATGAGAGCAGACAGATCACACAAGTTTATGGTTTCTACGATGAGTGTTTAAGAAAATACGGAAATGCAAACGTTTGGAAATACTTCACAGACCTTTTTGACTATCTTCCTCTCACTGCCTTGGTGGATGGGCAGATCTTCTGTCTACATGGTGGTCTGTCGCCATCCATAGACACACTGGATCACATCCGAGCGCTTGATCGCCTACAAGAAGTTCCTCATGAGGGTCCAATGTGTGACTTGCTGTGGTCAGATCCAGATGACCGTGGTGGATGGGGGATATCTCCTCGAGGAGCTGGTTATACCTTTGGCCAAGATATTTCTGAGACATTTAATCATGCCAATGGTCTCATGTTGGTGTCCAGAGCTCACCAGCTGGTGATGGAGGGATATAACTGGTGCCATGACCGGAATGTAGTAACAATTTTCAGTGCTCCAAACTATTGCTATCGTTGTGGTAACCAAGCTGCAATCATGGAACTTGATGATACTCTTAAGTATTCTTTCTTGCAGTTTGATCCAGCACCCCGTAGAGGCGAGCCACATGTCACTCGTCGTACCCCAGACTACTTCCTGTAATGAAAATTTAAACTTGTACAGTATTGCCATGAACCGTATATTGACCTAATGGAAATGGGAAGAGCAACAGTAACTCCAAAGTGTCAGAACATAGTTAACATTCAAAAAACTTGTTTTCACACGGACCAAAAGATGTGCCATATAAAAATACAAAGCCTCTTGTCATCAACAGCCGTGACCACTTTAGAATGAACCAGTTCATTGCATGCTGACGCGACATTGTTGGTCAAGAATCCAGTTTCTGGCATAGCGCTATTTGTAGTTACTTTTGCTTTCTTGAGAGACTGCAGAAATAGGATGTAAACATTAACACCTGTGAGTCCAGTTGACTTCCACTTAGCTGTAGCTTACTCAGCATGACTGTAGATGAGGATAGCAAACAATCATTGGAGCTTAATGAACATTTTTAAATAAGTACCAAGGCCGCCCCTCTTGTTTTGTTTCTTTTCAGGGATACCATTTAATTTAATTGTATGATTTGTCTGCACTCAGTTTATCCCTTCTCAAATCTCAGCCCCACGTTGTTCTTTGTTATTGTCAGAAAACCTGGTGAGTTGTTTTGAACAGAACTGTTTCCCTCCTGTAAGATGATGTTACTGCACAAGTCACCGCAGTGTTTTCATAATAAACTTGAGAACTGAGAAAGGCAAAAAAAAAAAAAATGATGAGTAAGCATACTCAAAAAAAAAAAAGTTATATAGCTTATTGACATACTAAAAGAGTATATCTTCAAAACGCCAGAACCACCTTGACACATGTCAAAATGGAGCTTGGCTCTGCCCTGCTGTCACTAGTTACTAAATATGATGTTTCCACCATTTTCGCTAATATCTGACTGTGTTCAGCCCTGGCAGAAGGAGGCTTTCATTCCGCAATAAAGAAGAAAGAGTCTTTGAAGTGAAGGTTGGAGGCAAAGTTCAGCCATGTCAGTCACACCCACTCCTCTGCTGCTAGAACGATCTGCCTGCAGCTCACAAAGCACCTCAGGCCTGCAGCCTGATTCTCAGGAACAGATACCGTACTGCTGAAGGAAGGATGCTTTTACAGTACCCATCACGCTGTTTCCAACAAGGTTAGTCCATGCTAATAAGGTTTAAGAAGGGGATTGGTTACAAGGAATCGGGCAGCCCAGGTAAAAGATGAGTGTCCCTGGGCTAGAACAGCAAAGTAGGAGACTATATGCACAACAGCTCCCCCTGCCGGTCTTCCTTTGCTGTCACCGGGAAACCTCAGGAAGTCTGCAGTACTGACAGAAATCTATTTGCTATCAGGAGTTGATGTCCCCTCCACTACCTGGCCACTTAGTAAAATACGGAAAGCACCATTCTGGTAGTGTGCTAACCCTCTCCTAGGCCCATCGGTGACTTCCTATGCAGAACAGAGACCCCAGAATCTGTTGTAATAAGAACGACATCATGATCTCAGGAAGTGAGGCTGTTCAAGGAGACAGTTACACAGGTACAGAGGAAGGACAGACGTCAAGGAAATACTTGTTTTGATTACTTTTACTCCATAATTAAAACTGACTGGATGCAGCCTCCTTGATACACAGCTCACGAGCTGCATTGTTTGTCGGTTACTGTGACAGAAAGAACGAGGTTTGGGGATAACGTCCTGTGCCTTTTCTTGAGACTTCATCCAAATACACAGCTTTCAACTAATAGAAGATGTTGTCCTGTGGTTTGAGTAGTTTCAATAACGTCATTATAAAAGAAGCTACACTGATAACAACATATGCCATGGTATACTTCACTAAGTACTTTGGGCATGTATCAAACACACAACCCTATGAATCAGGCTCTATGTCTTCCAGTTCGGAAGACTGTGGCTGACATGCACACAACTATTGAGCAGAGAAGGCAGATTCAAACCCAAACCTCTTTAGGGATAACATATAGTGGACTCAGCCAAACATTGAGTAAAATTTTAACTGATTTTTGCGTTATAGAACAAAAATAAAGTAACCTGCATAGACTGAAGTAAAGGGAATAAAATACGCTCCTCAGGGCTTGCTCAGCCTGCCTTCTTGTAACACCCAAGCCCATAAGCCCATGGTTGGTACCACCCACAGTGAGCTAGGCACTCCCACATCAATCAAGAAAAGGTACCTCAGTCCAATCTGGTGGGAACTTTTTCTTAACTGAAGTTCCTTTTCTAAAATAACTTGCTTGTGCCAAATTGACATAAAACTAGCCTGCACAGTTTATTCCTTGTCAGTTTTTGGTACACAAACACATAACTATTCAAGTAGACCCTTTCCATTCTTGTTTGACCTCAAGATGGTCTGTTAATCTTAATATCACAATATAAAACTTATACTCCAAACTTTAACAAGTCCCCCAGTCTTTAAAAATTCAAACACTTTAGAAGTTCAGTCTTAAGATATCCAAAGTCTCTCTAATACTCTAAAGTATCTTTAAAGCATCCAAAGTGTCTCTAAACTTTCAAAGTCTCCTGACTATGGGCTCCTGCAAAATCAAAAATAAGTGAAATACTTTAGTATTCCAAGAGTAAAGAACCAGGGCACAGCCACAATCAGATCAAAGCAAAGGCAACGTCTAATAGTGTAAAGCTCAATGTCAGACTTCTGAGATTCAGATCTTCTGGGCTCCAAAGGGCGGGCTTACCACAGCACACACAGAGCATTTCACAGGTCAGACCAGCTCACTCCATACCTGGTCTTGGTGGCTGCCCCATGGTATTCACATCTCTAAAATGTTGACTGCAACTGAGACTTACCAGTAACCTCTCCTAGCTCTCTTCAGAGATGCCAGCCTTGCTAAGCCTCAGCTGGTCTCCATGACCCCTTTATGGCTTCAAAACTAGCACCACCAGGAAAACTCTTACTATACATTACCAAGTCTGGCCGCCTACACAAGGTACAGCCCAGAAATACTCTCAGAAGATTTTTTTTTAGCCAGAAGATGTCTGTCTCTTCTTAATCACTGCTAATTTCTCAGCACAACTGACCAGTATTGATTCTCTCAGCAAGGTAAAGGTGCTGGTCTCTTGTTAATCACAGCTGATTCTTCAGCTCCAGCTGACCAGACACCACAAATGGTTAGCACAAAACAGCACACAAACAGCCCCAGTAGGCCCTTTGCTTCCCTCTGAAGCTTCACAAGCCAGGTCTCCATCATCCACATTTCTCTCAACATTCTTATCTTCCAAAATCCCACAGAACAACCAATTATACTCTAAAAACTCAATGGCTTTTCCAGCCCAAAGTCCTTACACACACACACACACACACACACACACACACACACACACACACACGGGATTGCCTAGTACGAATTTCTATGCTATATGGGTCTCTATTGCTATGATTAAACACCATGAGTGTAAGCAACCTGGGGAGGAAAGGATTTTTTTCACCTGACAATTTGCAGTTCATCATCCAAGGAAGTCAGCATGGACGCCTGGAAGCAGGAACTGAAGCAGAAGGCATGGAGGAGTGCTGCTTAGCTTACAGGCTTGCGGCTCCTCATGGCTTGCTCAGCCTGCCTTCTTATAGCACCCAGCACCACCAGCCTGAGGCTGGCACTGCTCACAGTGAGCTGGACCTGCCCACATCAATCAAGTAAATACACCACAGGCCAATCTTGTAGAAACATTTTCTCAATTGAGGTTCTCTTCCCTAGCTTCTGTCAAGTTGACAAAAAACTAGTCACCACAGCTACATAAGGAATTCCCAAGAGCAGCCTCCAACACATAAAAGCCTTCCCCCAACCCCTACCCATAACACACACACACACACACACACACACACACAGGTGGGGGTGGGCGACACGGGACCACTTTCTATTTTCCATTACCTATTTATGGTCAGGCTTTAATCCAGTATGTTCCAGATTTTGATTTTCAAACCATAGTCTACTGTGAACAAATATGTAAAAGGGTAGAAATTGGTTCTCATATCACTCACCTTGAGAAATACTCAAGCATTTTAACAGTCTGGCAAAAACAAATATCTCACTCAAGCACCAGATTTTCTTACTAAAAAACACAACATTGAAGAGAGACCCCAATTACAGAGCTCAATTCAAAGAGCTATTTCTGACTGAACTAATAATCTTTCAAGCCCTAAATGTTCCCATTCTCCCAGGAACAGATGACTTTTATTCCCATCCCCAATCTCGATGCCCTGGCTGGAATCCAGGCTTGCAAAACTCTAAATCTGAACCACAGTAAGAAACAATGCCTTCACCAGTAAGGAGACAGAGATGGACAACAAGCAAATAAAGCTGCTCAAAGAGCTGACCACTGAGGAAATAAAAACTAAAGCCATGGAAAACAGCTTAGACACCATGACAAGACACCAGCACAATCCAATAAGCCTATAAAAGTTTCTATGATAAAAGTTATTTTAAGTATATATAAATAATTTTAAGGGAATCCAGAGCAACTGAAATTCACACACATGGCCAGTAGCCATGCAAACAATTCACCATTCCAGGCACCATATAACTCAACAATCTTATTTCAGATATTGCCCTAGACAAATAAACACATTCCTACAAAAAAAAAAAAAAAAAAAAAAAAAAAAAAAAGGAAAAGAAAACAGAAAAGAATGTTCATGGCACGGCAATTTCATGAACAAAAACTAAGAAGTAGCTATGTCCTTTGACAAGTAAGTAAATTACATACACATGAATGCACACATCACAACCACACAGTACATTCACACGGAAAAAAAAAAAAATGCTTATCAGGGCTGGAGAGATGACTCTAAGGTAAAAGAGTGTGGACTGCTCTTAGAGAGGACTGAAGTTCTGTTCCCAGCATCCAAATGTGGTGGCTTGTGACTCCAGTTCCAGGGGACCTGAAACCTTCTCTGGCTTCTGCAAACAACTGCACTGCCAACACAATCCCCACACAGACAAAACTGTAGACACATCCATATTTTTAATGCTATTCAGCAATGATAAGAAATGAACTAGAATGCACTATCAGATGGAGCATTAGGCTGTTTTAAGACTTGAAAGGTTATATATTATATTTTATTAGTTTGCTAATGATGCCTAGAAGATACAGACCACGTCAATAAAACAATACAGTTCTCAGGGCTAGAGGGATCGTTTGGTGGTTAAGAACCCCAGCTGCTCTTCCAGAGAACCCATGTTTGGCTCTCAGAACCCACATGGTGGCTCACAACCATCTGTTACTTCCCACAGTTCTAGGGGACCTCCCGTTCTCCGCTGACCTCCAATGACACCAGGCATGTACATGGTGCAGACATTCAAGCAGGCAGGTCACTCATGTGCATAAAATAAACTAATCTAAACAAATTTAAACACAGGTAAAAAAAGAGTTCTAAATATACAGGCCAAAGTTCTGTGTCTGCTGACTTGATATCTTCTGAAAATTCTCTTTATTACCATGCAGGTGGCTATTTCTCCACAAATCTCATTTGTTGAAATCCTAACCCTTGTCCCCAAGGTGACTATATTAGGAAGTCATTAGTTCAGAGGATGGAGCCCTCATAAATGGCAATAGTACCCTTCATGTAGGATCCCTAGAGACCCACACAATGCATAGCAAAGGGCACTAACAGCAGACACAGAATCTGCCAGCACTTGACCTTATATGCCCCAGGCTCCAGACCCAGGATTTCTTTTCGTAAGAGTGCACATAGACTAATA